GCGATGAAAGGGGAGGGGAAGGGAGTCCACCACGTGCTCCTCAAAAAGATTAAAAAAAAAAAAACCACACACAACAACAAAAAAAAGAGGAATTATTTCAGGATTAGCGAAAGCAGCAGAGTGAAAAACACAAGCCAGGCTGTGTGCCCGCGGCAACGGCGCTGGGGAGGGACGTGTCCCAGGCCCGTGGGGGCCAGGACATGCCGTACTCTGCTCTGCTCCTAAATCCCTTCAAAACCCACCCAAAATCCCTTTCCAGCCCCGGGGCTTTCCTTTCGCAGCCCGGCTTCAAAAGAGCGCAGATGTCTTCGGAGTAACCCCATCTGAACGTTCAAAACTGATTTTTCATGTTTTTTTCACAGTTGGCTGGCAGGTCCCTTGCGCTGTCACGTTTCTGAGCGCGCAGTCACATTGCTGGGATCTCTCTAACCAGGAGCTCTGCGAGTTGTCCTTTCTAACGAGCGGGGTTTCCCCGTCGGAAGCCACGCTTTAAGAAGTACCCCCAAATCTCCTGGGCCCAGTTACAGGAGTTAGCTGCACAAGTAGCTGACAGGCTGGAGAAAGAAGGATGTTAGTTTCTGTATTTTCAGCATATTTGCGTTTTGTTGAGTAGCGGTTAAAAGCTTTCTGCTTTTTTTTGTGTTGTTTTTTTTTAACCCTCCAAAATTGAGGATAGGTTTTCTGAAGCAACCTGGAGCAAGGACCAGGACTGGCTAAACCCTTCATGCTTGCTCCTTCCCCTGCCCTGGGAAACTAAGCTGCGTGCTGGGTGGAAGGCGAGGTTGTTCCAGCTGCTTTCCTGTTGGGAAAGGCTTCGGGCAGCCCCGCTGGTGGGAAGTGCATGGCCGTGAAGCCACTGGCATGGGGGTACCACAGCCGGGCACGGCAGCACCTCCGTGGGTGGGGAGGAGAGCCTTGCTCCCCGTCAGCCCCCAGCTCACTGCCAGAGACACGCGCCCCGCAGCCCAGAGCAGCCTCAGACTTTCAGTTCCCCAGCACCAACAAAAAAAATTAAAAAAAAAAAAAAAAATTAGAAAAACGTCCATTTCTGGCAAGCTAAAGGTAAGTCCAGGCATAAAACATGATGGACCCTGGCCTGGAGCTTTCCCTGTTTGGCTGTAAGACAGCGGTGGCAGTACCATCTCTCTGCTCTTCAGGCTTGTCTGGAGGCTCCATCCAGCAGCATCTCCCATGCTACTCCCCACAGGGCTCCAGCACACAGAGCTTACACCGGTACCCCTAACCCGAACCCTGGCTTTCTCACCACTGACCCGAGCAGTGGTGTTCCTGCTTCCCACCCGTGCCACCCTGCAGGAGACTGCACTGCCTCAGAAGGCATCCTGCTCTTTCACTACATACAGCTTCCCCTCTCCCCATCCCAAGCCTCCTGCCTGCTCCCCAGGGACACAGGCCATGCTTGCCCACGCATCCCAGGAGCAGCACAGGATCTGCCTCCTGCCACCCTCACCAGCCCTCCACTCCAGTCATTTCTGTCCTCTGGCAACAGCTGGATGGAAACCTGGCTTTCCATCCCCCACAATGACTGGCACAGGTGCCAAAGAGGTCCCTCCACAGGCCTGCAGCCACTGCCTCGTCCACCTCTGGCCCATCTGCCAGGGCTGAGCCTGGCACCCACAGGAGCAGCACCTCCCTGTGATGCAGCCCTGTGCCCATCCGTCCATGGCCAACACACACCACAGACCGTGGTGCCCTGGCAGGACAGGGTGATGTGCTGGAGGGTTTCACCCCTCTCCCCCAGCCAGGGCTGCGATGTCAAGCACGTTTGGTCCCCAGCAGGGTTTTGTCCCATCTGTTTCTGGCGCCTTTGAGGCCCCTGGGAGCCGGAGTCAGGGCTGGGGGAGGGCACAGGCTGCAGATTCCCCATCTGTGCCACATCTGAGCTGGCTAATGCAGCGGAAAAAGGAACCACCCAGCGCCTGGCTCTCTGAGGAGGTGATGTGCTCTGCCTCCCTCCTCCCCGGCAGGGCTGAGGCGATGCTGCTGCAGGCCAGTGGGCAGCTGGGGGACAAAAGCCAGGTTGGAGGGGAGGGCTGGTGTTGCCCCTTGCAAGGCAGCTGCCCTTCGCCCAGCCCTGGGCACCTGGGTGGCAGCTGCGGTCACCGCACTCCAATTTGGGTGGTTTTTTTTTCCCTCCCTATTTGTGTTCAGTTGAGAAGAATTTGACCTTTTCTCTCCGACCCAGGCATCTGGCCTGAGTCACCCAGATGTTTAGGCTGCCAGGAATATGCTCTGTGCCCCAGGACTGGGAGAGGAGAGCACTTGCTAGCCTGGGGGAGGATGATCCTGCAAGCCTCTGCCACACTGGCATCTAGCTGTTGGTTTGCTAGATCACCCTAGATCACTGCAAAGGAGGGTGGTGGGGTTTGGCACCACACGTCCTGAGATTTGCACAAGGGAAGGCGGTAATTCTTACACCATCGATCATAGAATCATAGAATCATAGAATGGTTTGGGTTGGAAGGGACCTTAAAGATCCTCTAGTTCCAACCCCCTGCCATGGGCAGGGACACCTCTCACTAGACCAGGTTGCTCAAAGCCCCATCCAGCCTGGCCTTGAACACTTCCAGGGTTGGGGCCTCCACAGCTTCTCTGGGCAACCTGTTCCAGTGTCTCACCACCCTCACAGTAAAGAATTTCTTTCTAGTGTCAAAACTAAATCTCCCCTCTTCCAATTTAAAACCGTTACCCCTTGTCCTGTCACTACATTTCCTGACAAAGTCCCTCCCCATCTCTCCTGTAGGTTCCCTTCAGATATTGAAAGGCCGCTATAAGGTCTCCCCACAGCCTCCCCTTCTCCAGGCTGAACAACCCCAGCTCTCTCAGCCTGTCCTCATAGGGGAGGTGCTCCATCCCTCTGATTGTCTTCGTGGCTCTCCGCTGCACCTGTTCCAGCCGGTCCATGTCCTTCCTGTGTTGAGGACTCCAAAGCTGTACACAGTATTCCAGGTGGGGTCTCAGAAGTGCAGAGCAGAGGGGCAGAATCACCTCCCATGACCTGCTGGCCACACTTCTCCTGATGCAGCCCAGGATGCAGTTGGCTTTCTGGGCTGCCAGTGCACATTGCTGGCTCATGTTGAGCTTCTCATCCACCAACACCCCCAATCATCGCCTTCTGCATGAGAGTTGTATTAAATCTCAAAAACATTACTGTGAACAGACAATCAGCAGAGAAATGGGGTGCATTTAGCACACTTATGAAGGAAATTTGTATTCTTTGTCCAAAGGCTTGATCTAAGTTTCACAGAATCATAGAATCATCTAGGTTGGAAGGGACCTTCAAGATCATCTAGTCCAACCATCAACCTCACTCTGACAAAAAAAAATCACTAAACCATGTCCCCCAGCACCATGTCAACCCGTCCTTTGAACACCTCCAGGGATGGTGCTTCAACCACTTCCCTGGGCAGCCCATTCCAATGCTGGATAACCCTTTCAGTGTAAATATTTTTCCTAATATCCAACCTGAACCTCCCCTGGTGCAGCTTGAGGCCGTTTCCTCTACTCCTGTCGCCTGTGACTTGGGAGAAGAGACCGACCCCGGCCTCTCTACAGCCTCCTTTCCAGTTAGTTATATCAAAAAACAGATTGCAGCAAAAGCTGACACAAAAACTGGTGGCTTGCTAGGTAGTTATGAGGGCTTGTCGCATCCACAGAGCACTCCGAATTGCTTAAGGATTTGAGTTTGAGTGTACAGCATGTATTTTGACACAGCCCAACCTAGAGTAAAAATAAGTAAATAAATAAAAAGGCAGAGGCAAGCACACACCAGTCAACCTCTTTGACGATGGTAAACACTCAACTCTGCAGGAATATCCAGCCTGGGTCAGTGGCTCAGCTGAGGGCAACGATGGGGAGCAGGGAGCCAATACCAAGCAAGCAACCCAGCTGTGGCCTGGGCTGGCAAACAGGGCATGGGAAACCAGAGACGGTGCCAGAAGTTGCTGGCCGTGGCAGATAGTGGTGTGAAAGCACCATGAGGGAAGGCTGGATCTCACAGCTGGGTCAAGTGGGAATTGTGTGAGAAGTGGCCAAACTGCACCGGCAGTTGCTGGGGTTATTTTGGGGAGCAGAACCTGGCAACACCAGTGATGGTCCACTAATCATGAGGTTGCCTAGGTAATGGTATTGAAAACATGAAGCTTGGGTATGCCGTGTAGCAAAACTGGGATCCAAGGCAAAACAGTAATTACAGTAGATCGCTTGTTTGCAAGGAGTCTTGGGTGGAAAGCGGGAGGTCAAGAAACAGGAAAATGGGTAAGTTACATAGTGCCAAGGGGCTGCTGAGGTGTGCCTGTCAAGCAGCCCCACACTTGGTCACCAGAGTGGGAGCAGAGCAGAAAAAACTAAACCGATTTTTCTGACCATACCACATGTATCAAACCTCCCTTTGGTCCCAACGTGGCACTGCCAAGGGTACTTTCCCTTGGCAGGAGGGCAAGCTCTGGGTGGAGGCATGGATTGAGCATCACGGCATTTCTGTGTCAGTGCCTGTTCCAGGCAGCTGGCACCAGCCTCTTCCCACCACTTCCTAAGACAGACATTAATTGTCTGGG